AATTATTATTTTTTTTTTTTTGTTTTCAAAATTTCTTGTATAATATTTCCTCCATTTATACCATGCTTTAAACTGTTTTATATAAATAATACTAAGCTATATATGCAAACTTACGGATATTGTCCACGCTCACTCTCGCCAGGGCCCTGAGATGAAGATGTCGGCGAATTAGGGCGCGAATCACCCTGTCGTGCAAATTTGAAATCGCGCTGTGTGGATGGAGAACTATTTGAAATCGGTTCGTATGGCTGGAAAGGAAATGAAATAGTTGGCAGGCACCTACATTACTACATTTACCGGACAATAGCTAAGACATAGTACGACATACAAATACAAATTCAAATACATTAAAAAATCAAAGCTACAAGCATGTACATACATATGTATATAAGCAAATAATCAAAATATTACACACCGACAGTCAAAAGTTTAAATAACAGAATAAAGAAGCTATAAATCAAAAAATAGGTTTACACTGCCACTTTTCAAATCCATACTAAAGATAAAATTTTATGAATAAATATATTCTGCTGCTTTATCACAAGTAGTGCTTTATAATCTAGAATATAGCACGCAATTTTTTATATTTATATTTATTTACTTAGCTAATGTATTTATGTACTAACACAGCGGTATAAACCGGCAAATGTCACAAAGTCAACACCCACCCACACACTCGTACACACGTGCAAACACCCAACAGCACAGCACACCGGGGTAATTGCCGCAATTGAAAAGCGTTTACTTAAGCATTTTCGTGGTGATTAGATATCAAAGAAAGTCACTGCTGCTTACTGGTTTTAACTAATTCCTCGAAAGCGGTGTACATTTGGCTCAAGTTAAACATGCAGAGGTTAGCTGGAGTGAATGTTATCTCAAGCGCTTAGGACATTTGTTGCGTCGCTTTTTATACCTTTAACAGGGTATAACTTGGTAAAATTTTGTACACGACATTTCCTGCCCAAGAAACCATTTATCCGTCGAAATTGATGATATCGGACCAATATTGCATATAGCTGGCATATAAAGTGGGCAATCAAACTTAGGTTCGGTATGGAAAACTTTTTTATTTGACAAGTTTTATGCAAGAAATTTGATATAGATTAACCGCACAAACGCAGCCCTATAATCTCTGAACATATCATTCAGATCGGATCACTATAGCATATAGCTGCCATACAGACTGACCGAAGAAAATTAGGTCCTTGCAACTAAAACTTTTTTATTTGATAATATATCTTCATGGAATTTGGCAAGGATTATAATTCAAGACAGAGCTACAATATCCGGAGAAATTTTCCACATCGGACCATTAGAGAATATAGCTGCCATACAAACTAATGGATTAAAATCACGTCTTTGTATGAAAATATTTTTTATTTGACTAGATATCTTTACAAAATTTGGCATGGATAATTGCCCAAGACAATGCTACAAWATCCACTATAGCATATAGCTGCCTTACAAGTTTCAAAACTTTGTTTATTTGTGAAGCGTATTCTAACTTTTTCTTATATAATTTTTGACTCTTTTATGTTACGAGAAATCCATCTGTGTAGGGTATAATAGGTTCGGTGCAGCCGTAGTTAATGGTTTTCCTTGCTTATTATTTATTATAAAATCATAATTCACTTTCGAATATATTTTTATTGCTGGCACACAGCACATATTGCTGTCATCTTGCTTGCAGGGTCAACATTTATTTTCGTCACTAAATTTAATCTGTTTGACCATAAATTCTAGATTACGCCGCCGCAGTTAAATTTAACCTTAAACAAGAAAGACGCAGTAATTAACCATGCTTCCTGCTAGGGTTATCGCAGTTTAGAGTAAAAGCAATAAATGGACTGCTATAAATAAATATTAGAATATTATAACTTAAAATAATTTCGTACAGTAAATAGCACATTTCAATTGAACTGGCTCAAACTAGTTTAGATACCAACATAATTTCCCAAATTTGACAATGAAGAATAAGCAGTGATTGATTCTTGTGCTTTAAACCCAGTAAACTTTAATAGCTGATAGAATATTAATACCGATGAGATCAAAATTTATTTTGGAATATGCTTTTTTATTATATTTTTAATGCACTATTGAATTGTAAAACGTTTTAAAAATGCCAATGGAGCATGCTGTTATTTCTTTGGAAGTGTAAGCTTTTTGCACTATTTCATTTACGTTTCGAATACTGGTAATAGTTGTTGAGATATAGATCTGAAATTTTTCACATGTCCTTTTGTCTCCAAGATGCTGCTCATATGTCGATACCGTTGATATCGGACTGCTCTAGCACATAGCTGTCACACGGACTAACCGATCAAAATCAAGTCCTAGTATAGAAAACTTTTTTATTTTAGAAGATATATTCACGAAATTTGGATGAATTATTGTCAAAGGCAGTGCTACAATCTCCGAACATACTGTTCAAATTGGACCACTTTAACATATAGGTGTAATATAAACTGATCGGTCAAAATCAAGTTGTAGTAAGGATAATTTTTTTATTTCATAAGATATCTTCACGAAAACTGGCAACGATTATTGTCTAAGGAACGCTACAATCTCGAAACATTTTTTCACTACCTTACACTATATTTATTTAATCTCCTCTTTTGCCTACTCAAGTCATTATCTAGCACAATGCTTATTGGGTGAAACCAGTAAATGCTATAATAAATAAGCACACACATGACATTTATTTAATTTCCTAAGCGTACTATAAGCTCACTACTTTTTATGGGTAAATTTATTTCCAAGCTCATTACGAATATAATAAATACTATACGAGCATAGTAAAAAAATGTGTAGGCTTATTATCTTATCAGTGACATTTGTTGACTTGAATTTGTTCACATGTTGACATATTWTTCGGTGCCATTGATAAAGAAATATTCTCAATAAATGTTTGCAAATACAAAAGCCTCAGTCATTTAGCGTGCGTCAGGCAGACAATTGTCATTAGAATGGTATTGAGGTGGTTCGGCCAAAGGCAATTCAAATCTTATAATAAAAGCAGTGTTGAATTATCGCAAAAGCAAAACTTGAGAACTTTGAAGTGAAATGCTTCACTTGAATATTGAACACGCTCTTACTCAACTGACGTCTACCACGAAACAATGCACACACATACACATACAATGCAATGTGTCAAATTAGCCAACGAACGGCCTTCAGCGCGAAAAAATCGCAATCAACGCAATGTTTTTTTTTTTTTTTTTGCTAAGCTTATAGACATTGTTATAGACGTAGTATAACAGCATTTTCTACATAGATAGTCACACATTTAGTATTTTTCCCATAATAGCGGAATTTTTGTTACAGCCACTACTGGCTGCTCATGTAGCGGCCTGATTGCTAGACGCATATTTATACCTTGAACAAGGTATATTCAGTTTGCCAGGAAGTTTGTAATACACAAAAGGAAACGTTTGAGACCCTATAAAAAAGTATATATGGTATAAATGATCAGCTGAGGCATGTTTGTCTGCCTAGTTTTTGAGATATCGTTTTGAAATTTGGCATACGCCCTTTTCTCTCTAATAAACTGCTAATTTGTAGGAATTGTGGATATCGGGCTACTTATAGCTATAACCGCCATACAAACTGAAGGATCAAAATCAAGTACATGTCTGAAAAACTTTTTTATTTGACATGATATCTGCACGAATTTAACATGGAGTATTACCTATAACAATGCTACAATCTTTGAAAATATTTTCGGGATCGGAGCACTACAGCAAATAGTAGTCATACAAACTGATCGACCAGAATCAAGTGCTTGTATGAAAAACTGTTTTATTTTACAAGATATCTTCACGAAATTTGTTATATATTATTGTTCAAAACAGCGCTACCATCTCCGAACATATTGTTCACATCGGACGACTATAGCATATAGCTGCCATACAAACTGATCGATTGGAATCAATTGCTTGTATGAAAAACTGTTTTATTTTATAAGATATCTTCACGAAATTTGGCATCGAATATTACCTAAGGAAAAGCTACAATCTTCGAAAAAAAATTTCGGATCGGACCATTATAAAATAAAGCTGTCATACAAACTGATCGATCGAAATCAAGATAAAGAGCTTTTTATACCCTTTTATGGTATAATAAATACATCGGAGTAGGGTGTTATAGCTTCACTGTCAAAGTTTTATTTATTTATTTATTTATTTTTTCCTTGTTGCATGTTCTTCTGTTGTATTCTACTTCTGTTTAATCTTTAAATCATTTTGCATTCAATAGAGCGCGACAGCGTGTACAATATATGAATACAATACATGCTGCTGACGCTCGCTGACTCGTTGACTTGCTGACTTCTATATGTATAGTGAGTTGGTTGCTTGGCCTGATAAGGCAAAAGGTGACTGTTTTATTGCCCCCGAATGATAGCCTCTGTTACATGGAGTGGGCACCTTTATTGACATTCGACGTTATCACACAAAAAATAAAAATAAGTGCCTGTTAATCGTATTGATGCCGCACGTATTTTTTTTTTTTTAATGCGTACTCATATATTTATAAATATATGTATATTGAGTATGTAGGATTATTATTTGTACTATTATGTAGTACACTTGAGTAAATATGTTTGTTTGTTTGAACAAAAATGCTGTTTTACACAGAGTCCGTGGGCCTATTAGAGCAAATATTTTGCAGTAGGGTAAACATATTTTAACCACTTATTATAAGACACGTTAATAACACTCTAAGTATAAGCACTCAAACATGTATGATAAACACATTCATACACACGGACATGCATTAATTTGTAGCACAGAATTTTGAGGACTTGCGGCGACTGGCGGAAAAATTGATAAGCACCACTCTTCACACATATCGTGGTCATAAATCAAATACATGGTACGATTTTTTCCATATCTTTGTTTTGAACTTAGCTCACCTTAAATTTCACATTACTTGTCGAATCCGAGTTGGCCAACGACTTCTCGGAGGGTGTGTAACGTCCTGCACCCTCAGCGCTTGTTGCGATCACATTGTTGTTGCTGAGATTGGCGTCACCATCTACGCTGTAAATTGCGCCGGCACCGCTACCAGCGGCCGCATTATTGTCAGCGGGTCCACCAGATATACGGCCAGTAGAGGTAGCCGCTGCCATTGTAGTGTTGTTACCACCTTCAGCCAAATATAAATGCTTTTCATAGCATGAGGAACATATTTGCACCATACCTTATGTGAATTTATAGAAAATTATTTATATAATATTTTTTTATAATATCTTTGCAAATTAAAAATCATACTACTCACCCTGTGGACTGATGGGACTAGCATTTTTGAAAGCTTTCATGGTTTTTATGAAAGGATAGTAAGGTTCGCGCTCTGCATTTGGACAGCAATAAACGAGCCGCAAACGTGAGGAGGGCGTGTCACCGCCACAGGTATAACAAACGAACGTGGTGCGTTCTGTGACGGATGTTGGTTTCTTACGTAACGTATAGGAGCGTTCATTTTCAGGTGTTTGTGTAGTCTAAAAAATATAAAAAAATATATTTATTTACACAGTAAATCAGCGTGTAATAAGTGTTATTTTAATTTACATTATTGCCATATTTTAGATAATATAAATAGTTCACACATTAACTAAATTAACGAGCAAATAATAACATTTTTAATGACAAAATTAAATATTTGCTTTTATTGTTATAATAAATACAATAATTTCTCGGTGTAATTTTTTGTTTACATTTGAAAATAACGTTCGTATGAGTATTTAAAAAAAAAAAAAGATTACTATCATGCATTGACAAATAAGATTGGGATGAAGTCACTATTGAGAGAGAGTAATAATTATAAATTCCTTTTTTTAATTTAAAAATTTTATATTTTAGGGTTTAAAATAATAAGCATGAAAATAATAAACTTAAAAAATAAACAATCAGGATACTTTTTAAGAGTAATTTAAAGTCATTCTTAAAGTTAAAATAACAAAAAAGTTTCCAATACAAGAACTTGATTTTTAACGATCAGTTTGTATGGCAGCTACATATATCTTGAGTGGTTCGATATTGGCGGTTCCGACAAATGAGCAGCTTCCTTAGGAGAAAAAGGTGTGCGCGAAATTTCAGATTGATATCTCAAAAACTGAGCTGCTAGGATTGCGTATATATAGAGAGACACAGACATGTTTAAATCTACTAATTTATATACTTTATAAATTCCCGACGTTAGCTTCTGGGTGTTATAAGCATCGTGGCAAGTATACCTTGTTCATAAAGATATAATGTCTTCTTCTTTACTGGTCTTTACTGGCGTAGACACCGCTTACGCAGTTTCTTCTTTTTGCAATTTGGCGCCAATTGGAGATTCCAAGCGAAGCCAGGTCCTTCTCCACTTGGTCTTTACAAAGGAGTTGTGGTCTTCCTCTGTTTCCCCCGGCGGGTATTACGTCAAAATACCTTCAGAGCTGGAGTGTTTTCGTCCATTCGGACATGATCTAGCCAGCGTAGCCGGCTTTTTAATTTTTCGTTCTAACTTTTTTTTCTATTTTTCTTCCTCTAATTTTATTAATTTTTTCAAAATTAGCAAGAAAGTAATCACAAGAAGAGGAAATTTAAAACAAGGAAATGTATAAGTCCCACAATTCTTAAATTTAATGCCTTAAAATCTCCGAAAGTTGGCGAAAAAAGAGACCGACCCAAAAAAAATTACGGAGAGAAGCGATCGAAATATTGCAAAAGTCCGCTGCAGTCATTCAACAAACGATAAGTCCACAAATTTCTTCAAGAACAATAAGAAGACGACTTGTAGAGAAAACTCACTTTGTCAGATTATTCCAATGTTGAGCGAACTGTATATAAATTGGTGTGGAGCTCAAAATAAAAAAGAAATGGTTCGACATTTTCTGGTCTGATCAATGCAAAATTAATGTGGTTGATAAAAAATAATGGTTGGACGTGGGTTCGACTTCCAAAAAAAAAAAAAAAATATGCATCCGTTACATGATTACCTCCTTCAAACTCTATTTCGGTTATAAAATTTGTTGGGGTTGATTTACATGGTGTGATGTCGGATCTATTTTTTGGATGAGAGAAAACATGGACCGCCATATACATATGTACAAATTTTAGTTAAAGTCATACACCCATATGTTGAATGAAATTTGCGCTCAATTTGGCAATTCCCACAAGAGCGAGAACCTAAACATACTAGCGGTCTTGTAAAAAGTATGTTTCAGACAATGGCGTTGATGTTATGGGTTGGCCACCACACACATCGGATCTGAATACAAAGGAAAACTTATGGAAAATAGTTAAGCAAAATATTGGACCTGTTAAGGGGGTATTCTACTCCAGAATTTTGCAAAATTCGATTTTTTTTTCATATATTTAAAGTTTAGACCCTTAAGAACATATTCTCCAGAGGATTTTTAAAAATTAAAATTATTTTAAGAGCTACAGTTACTTTAGTGACGCAGTACCTAGCGCACTAATAAATGACTTTTTCTCGAAACTACTCTTTTCCACACGGTACCGGCATTATTTCAAGTTCTATACAACCGATTTACTTGAAATTTTGTGTGAACCTTCTTTATATAATCGCTTATCGTTCCAACCAGCATCGTGACAAAATGTTTTTAATATTAAAAAAAATCAAGAATTTCAAAAAAAAACATAAAAAATTATTTTTATTTTCAGGCTGTCGCCATTTAAAAAAAAAAAATCGTGTGCCCTGAGGTAGGGACTATAACAGCATCCTCACTGATTAAGAATTTCTTTCGATTTATTTTTTCAGACCACCAGGAGAGTGAGGATCAATGTCACCAGGATGCGACATTTTTTTTTACACTTGTCCCTCTAATTATTTTAATTTTTAATATTTTTTTGTAAAATTTTTTCCTGTATTCTTAAGATATCAATAAAAACACCATAGAAAAATGGATGGTAAAAATATTTGTTGGTTTTTTTTTTTTTAATAAAATTCAAAACACTGCCCAAAATTTGATTTCTAGACTAGAATACCCCCTTAAACCGAAAAATGGGGCGGAACTCTGAGAGTAGGTTCAAAAGGTATGGTATTCCGTTCCACAGAGCACTTGCCGTGGTCTAAATTAGTCTATGCCACGATGGTGTGCATCTGCATGAGACAATAAAGCTCCTAAGTACTAAAAATTCTCTAAAAAAAATATTTTTTTTTTAATTTAAGATATTATGATTATATAACATAGCATATAACGGATGATCTAAGTAGAGGTACTTTTTTCAATAGCCTTGTTTGTATACGAAGACCTTGTAGAGTCGATTCGGCGCCGTTCGCAGCAACTCTGACTGATGCACGGAACAACTTGGCGCATTTTACGTCGAGATCTTAAATTGAAAGCTCAACGGGTATGCAACCAAGCAAAATTGCCCCATTTGGAACGAAGAGCAACTTGAAGAGATGCATGACCTGCCATTTTATTCAGAAAAAAGAACGGGTGAGTCATTGGAATCATCGGTTCATATTTCTTTAAAAATGCTGCCGATTGGAATGTAATCGTCAATGGCGACCGCTATCACCCGTTATAACCGACTCTTTGATGTCTGCAATTGAAGCTCATGACCTCGGCGACATTTCATTTCAACAAGACGGCGCCACTTCCCACACATCGCACCAATCAATGGATTTATTGAGAGCACACTTCGGTGTGTCGATAATTTTACGTTTAAGGCCGATCGATTGGCCAACATGATCGCGTTATATCACACTGTTAGACTTTTTACTATGGAGATGTGGAAAGTACAAAGTCTATGCGGGCAATCCCGCTTGTCATGCGCCAATTACAAGTCGAAATGCTCGAACGAGTCAACGAAAATTGGACTCAACGAATAGACCATCTGAGTCATAGCCAACATATGAAAGAGATAGCCTTAAAAAAATAAATAAATAACGAAGTATGATCTTTCGAATGATAATAAACACTCTTTTCTATATTGGGTAGTCGAAAAAGTCGTTTCGTATTTTGTAAATAAATGTTGTTGCAGTTGTATATCTTTAGCGCTATCAATCACATTGTGTCATACCATATAGTGTTGGGAAGTTGAGATTTTAAGCTTCATTTAAAGAAAATTTAATTCGGGGAAGTTGAAAAAAAGTTGTAGCTGTTCAAAAATAAGCGAAAATAATGAAGAAATTCGGTATATTTTGAGATTTTTGTATAAAAAGGGAAGAATGCCATCAATGAAATTAGTGAAGTTTACGAAGACGATGCTGAATTAGTTCGTTTAGCGCAACAATGGTTCGCTCGCTTCTGTTCCGGAAATTTCGATTTACACTGATAAAAGTTTTACACGGATGGAATAATGCCGCTAGCTGAAAAATTTAAAAAAATGGTCGACTAAAATGATATATTTTTGTTAATTTATATATTTTACTAATAGATATAAATATTTTTCCTTTACCCAATAATTGAAGTTTCTGTGTTTTCTTAAAAAAAAAAAGTAGGCAACCACGAAATGTATCACCCTTTAGCTGCCGTACAAAGGGATCACAATCATGTGCTTGTATGAAGTTTTTTTTTTTTGTCAAATCATTGCACAAATTTTATTTACTTTAATTTTTTATTTACTTTCAGTGTATAATTTAATTTATTACCTGCTATTTTCTTGTATTTTTATAAAATATGCATATATGTACATGTGTAAATATGTTTACATATCTATGTACATATATAAATGTTTCCTATTGACATTAGTATTATATTATTTGTGGTATTTACCTGCTCAACCATCTTATCTTTAAGTATTAGGTAAGTTTTTAACTTTTTATAATCCTTCCAGTTATCATTTTCCAACAATTTCTGCTCGTTCCGCCTACACAACGCCGCTGCGTCCGTTTCCCGAAGTTTTATCATCGTATCGGACGCGTTTGTTGCAACAGCGAAATCGATCGCAACTTTATTATCACTACAATCTGACATTGCCGAACGCAATAAACACTGGTGGCGAATTTGCATTGATTTAAGGGTCAAAAACGAAATTTTATAGCTTCGCACACAAACACACATACGCGGCGCTAGTATTTATAAAAAAAAAATAGTTTTCATGGAACTGCGAATCATTATCTATGCCGTTATGCATGCAACGCTGTAGTATTTAGTTAAGTAATTGAAGAGGCCAAGAGGGGAAAAGGTTAAGAGCACTTTTGAGTATGTACTAAACAATTGTATGAATAACGTGAATAATTTTTCCAGCGGCGTAATTGGCTGAGAAAGCAAACTCTACACTCAACACCCACAGCCGCGCACCGTTACTTCGAATATTACAAGTATTTCGTATTTAGCGCACAAAGTAATTATTATAGAGCGCCAAGTGATTTATAAATTTTCAAATGCTGATAAGCGCACGACATATGTATGAACAAACATACATACATACACACATATGTATGTACATATATGGAAATAGTTGCACTTATTTTACGCATAAGCCGGAAACACTGCTAACACGCGGTTACATTTTATAATTATTTTTCATACTTTTTTTGGGTTTTTCTAAATAGCTACAACCAACAACAACAAAAATATCCCTTTTTGGCACTTGAATTACGAAATTGGCTTTTATTTTCTTTCTTATCTGACATTTGTGATCTAATTACTCACGCACAGTAGCCGTTGCCGTTACGCACACACTTATGTACATACATATCTAGTTTGTACAATGTTTATGTACATATTTGTACATATTTTTAAAATCACAAAAAAGCAAGAAAAACAAAAACGCCAGAATAAATGCAATTGTTTTTCCAGTTTCAAATGCCGTCAAGCTGCTACTAACACACTTGGAGCGGCGGCAAATCCATCCGCACTGGCACTTGCACTGACACGACGACGTTAGACGGCGACGATACTGACGCCGCAGCGCTTGCGTTGATTGTGCGAAACGTGTAGAAGCGCGCTTCGTTCGCGACTGGGTGTGTGTGGCGGAGCGAGAGCAATTCGAACCCAAAATCCACACATTGGAAAACTGATAACAGTGGGAATTGACGGTGTATAAATGTGGTGGACTTAATTAGGATCCCATCGTCGACTGGCGCTGTAGTATTGTAACGTAAATAGAAACAACAGCCAACTTACGTTCATATCACTAAATGTTGTTGTTGTACTACATAGCACAATAGTTAATATTAAAAATCATAGGGCTCAATATGAGACGCTGCGACAACGGCGACAGCGACGATGATGACGACGCCGCAGCGACACGCCATCATATACATATATATTTACAAATAAAATAAACATAAGCAGACATTCAAAGTGGTTATAAAATTGGATACAAAAATAAGTCAGCGAACACAAAAATAATAATCGCTGTATAAATTGTTGGTGTGCCTCCTTGTTTGCTTTTTTATTTTTAATCTTTCGGGTGTTTCTTAAATGGCTCCACTGCTTGTAAATAAAATTAGTTTTTTATTGCCTTAACTGTTAAGGGTAAAACGTGAAAGATAAAGACGACGAGTTGTTTTTTTTTTTGACGTTTTAAAACATGTTATTAAGAAATTTGTTACAAAACAACCTATTATATCAGATGTTGATACAGAAGTTCTAGCGTGTGTGACGCAATATTGTTTAGTTTATAATAACTTGGTAATTTTCTTAGGACTTCAAGGTCATATTTAAAAGTGTACTCAATCGCTGGGTCAGTATTGCATAGAGGAACGTTGCCACGGCAATCGGGTCTACGTAACTAGAACGGATCCGGATTTTTATCCGGCCAAGGACTGTCGATTCGGCAGCCACCAGGAATGTTGTTTGCCGATACAACAACAACTATGCTAACTATAATGCCGTTCCTACGACAGTCGGGTCGACGTAAGCGGTACAAACCCGGATTTTTGAAAACAGTCAACTTGGCGGAATTTCTCTAAATTACTTAAGGAATGTTAATCTTAAATTAAAATTCCTTAATTCCAAACTTCTAATCAATACTGTAAATGCACGTCAAAAGCTGAGCTGTCAATGCTATAGCATTCTATTCCATCGGATATACCGTTAATCTAGTCTTCATTAGGGTGGTGAGGTTCAGATAAGTTGTCACTGAGGTCATCCAACGGTAGGCCTAGGAAACGCGCTGTTTCGACGAGTTCGGACCATAGAGAGAGTGGTTTCAGATGTTTAGGGTTAGCTGGACGTGCAAGGAGTTGGTTAGAGTCAAGCGGGGACTCGTTGCATGCCGGATATCTTTTTGGATTATATATATATCGAAAATACCTACCTTGATCTAGTTTACTAAACAAATATTTTTTGATACTAAAAATTTATGTGAATATATAGAACGCCTTGAACTAGTTTACTAAACAAATATTTTTTCATACTAAAAATTGATGTGTGTACTCAGAGCACGTGACGCTGAAAGTTTTTGGTAGTAGACTAACGGTAAATGTCGTCTCTCACTCAAATCCGTACTGCGTGAGACTAAGTTTCTCTCTTAGAAAAGCATCATTGCTATCCACTTCTCCAAATGACGTTAATGCAACGTCATGCAATTGCTAGCTGTTAGCATATTATATTTTCTTAACCTTTTGCACGTGTGTGTAATAAAAAGTGTAATCTAGACTTACATTCTTACTTATAAATTATTTAATTTTATAACTTTTTACTTTTATACATATTTATTTATAATAAATGCATTTGTGCATGCTAATTGCCGCAATAAAAAATAAAATGCATATAATTAGGCTATATACAAGTAGCTGACACTTACCTGGTAATTATTCCACTGTTGTATAAGATGTTCATAGCATAATTGACAGGCTTGTATCATGCCACGTGGATCTTTGGGACGTGAGCGCGGCGGACGTGGTATTTGTTCATTGAAAATCGGAAAGTAGGGATGATGACGACCCTTCCCATCCTTCGAACGTACAGTGCTCAGTTCGATGAGACTGCCACGTCGCTGTTCATCACCGCAAACATAACAAACTTCAGTTAATGAATTCTTGTCTGGCATTGACAAGTCAAGTATGCCGACATCGACTTGGTTGGTGGCATTATTACTAGGTGAGGCATTTCGAAACATTTGGCGTGAAGTACCGCATGACAACATGTATGGTTCACAGATGTTATTTGTTGAGTTACGCAAATCTAAGGCAGCACCACTTGCATCGTCAACAACATCAGCCATTGATGCGGCATTCGAGTGATTACCACCAACACCACCAGCTGCGATACCATATTCGTATTGCGGACTGATACGATCTTGTCGCTGCTGTTGTTGTTGTTGCTGCTGGTGAATTTGTTGATGTTTACTGTCCGAATTTGTATGTAGAGCTTTTTGTGTATCATTTGGCGAGTTTAGTTCATTACGGGCTGAAGCTGAATTCATACAGGAAATCTGACCTAATTTAAATTTATGATGAGCAAATGAGGACGATTTTATATTTAACGTGTCATATGGTGAACCACTACCGACTGGTTTACGACTTTCAACTGTGGTGGGCTCGTCATTCATATGTGCCACACTCTTAGGTAACTGCGTGGTGCCAATTTGCTTTTCTTTTGGTTGTGGCGTCATTTGGCCATTCAAGGTAGCGTTAAAGTTTCGATTATAATAATCACAGTATTGTTGTGCCGTTGAGCTAGGCGTATTATTTGTTTGAGCATAATGTAATGACGATGATGGTTCGTTCGGTTGTAAAGGATAATATTGATTCGTCACATTCGATGGACGTTCGTAATCGACGCGATTTGGTGTACGCGACACACCACTTAAATATGCGTAATCTTCTTGCAAATTACCATGTTGCAAATGTTCAGCGCTAAGACCAAGCATCTGTGCAGCGTATTCACCTTGTGTTTGTATGTCGGCGCCAATGTAACTTTTCCCATCAACACGTTTCATGTGATATAAACGCTGCAAATGTGGTTTCTTTTTGCGTTCATACGAGTCCCATTGCTCTCGCAGGGATCGATAGCAAAGCATACAAGCGATTACATAGGTTTGTGTAGATGTAAGCTTTGGTACACCGTTAGGCGGTTCGTGTCGTTCCAAAAATGGGAAATACGGTTCAGTAGGACAATCCTGATTAGGACGTACGCGTAGAGATTCGCAGCCGCCATTACCGCCACATACATAACATAAAGGGAATACACCATCGTTGGCGGAATTACCGATAGTATCACATTCCGAAATATTTGTTGTATTCGTTTTCGATGTAGGACGTTGTGGATGGTAGTAGACTGTTTGTGGTGGATGTTCTAGGTTATGGTGCATTCCCATAAAGGGCGCAGATTTTAATTCGGGTGATAGTGACGTTGAGGGATGGCCTTCAGCAATTTTTGGCGTTAATTGTTGTTGTTGTTGTGTTTGTGAAGGCACACCACGATGCTCGTTTTTTACATGTACTTTCCCTTTTTCCATAATATATAACTGAAAATAATTTTACACAATTAATTGTAAATGTTTCCAAATTTGTTATATCAAATATTTACCTAAGTTTCAGCAAGTGTGCGTCGTTGTACTTTTGGGATCGTGTGGACAAATGATGACAATGCATATAACTCAAAGCGTTTAGACGGTAAATGAAATTTAAAATCGTAAAGGCGTATATTTTTTTGTAATAATAAACTAGTTTTAGCGGACAGAACGCTAACCGATATTCCGCTTTTATCACTTTATTTGTTTTTCAAAGGAATAAAAATTTGTCCTTGTTTGTAGGCACTTTCAAAATGTTTTTCATGTTTCTTTGTAAGTTTTCAGTACTTTTACTGCAAATTTATACATTTTTTTGTTGTATAAACTTTTATCTCTTTCTACAATTATTATACATACTTGCGTTACACATTATTGTACTTCATAATTAACACTGTATTGTGTTGGAGTCTTCATTCACAACTTGGCAATATGTGGAAACAATTTTGCACTTCTACGTATTGCATTATTTAACTAAACCATTATAAATTCCAACCAAAAAAGAATATGGTATATAAAAGCTGGCGTAAAACAAAAAGCCTGCCAAATTGTCACTAGCACAATTTCTGATCGTTTATACAACCTTCTTTCTTTTTAGTCTTATTTTCTTTCTGCCACTGCGTTTTTCGGTTTTTCGTGTCCAGCTAGCAGCCAATCGGTCGCTCGTTTAGGATTGACGTACACACAAACAATCGCACATCAACTGCTGATTTCTGGCTGCTTCAACTAACTTTTCGACTGCTGTTGCTGGAGAATTCTATAGCAGTTTTTCTTTTAATAATACTTGCAAAGAAAATGTTGCTACAAACATCGTTTTGGCAATGTACGACAGCACAATACGCTCTTCTAAAGTACGCTAAACGCACACGAACGCCGAAACGCAAAAAGTGAGGTCACAAAGAAAACTCGCAATTGGTGTATTACAAAATTCCATCAGACAGTTTAAGTTGATTTGTATTGACTGTTTCTTCACTACACGGACGAAATTTGACAAAAAGCCTTGGATTATTATCCACTTCCGTCCCATTTACTTGTAGTATATCACAAATTTAAATTCATTGGCATTTTTTCAGTTTTCACACTCCACTTTTTTATTAGGAAAAGTAAATTGCAAAAACTTATCACTGCTGCTCACGCGATCTGAGAATGGGAACACAAAGATATTGCGTCCATTTTGAACATTACTGTCAACCAATTGTTTGCTATTGTCTGACATTTGTAGCATTTTTTCCGATTGGTTAGCAAGGGCGTTGCCACATACAATTTTTCAAATATCGCGTTGATTTTACATTTTGAGGAATTTGTAGTTCATAATGTTGCCACAATGGTTAAGAGTTTTAACAAGCGAATGAATTGGAAAACCCATGTAACGAGTAATGTAATTTTTTTCATTGCGTTCCACTGTTAGATTGACCTTCAACTTCCATTTCTGTCAATACATAAGCTCCCCTCAGCTGTTAAAAAATTCTGTTAAGGAATTGTGATATGTGATATATGGATATTGTGAAATGCCACCAATTTGACCGCTTTCTACAGAGCGAAATCCTGTTCTGTTCTGACTGTATTCTGTTATCGAAACATCGGAACTGGTTTAATAAAGCTTATTATAATTAAATGATATACATTATCTGCTATAAGCTCCATAGCGGGAGTTACCGTTTATTTGGTTATCTTCTTATATTCAACACTGTGTTGTTTAACATGAAAATAATAGACTTTGTTTTGTTTTAATACAAATATTTTTTTTTATTTTATTTTTTTTTTTATGTACTATTGTGTTTTTAATTTTTTTTCGACTTTCCTTGAATTAACATACAAATTTATAATATTATAACGCACGTTTTTCAAAAGCCATTAAATGTTTTAATTAAAATTATTACAAATATGGGAGAAACACGATAAAGGCACGACAATATATATAATTTCCAAAATCCTTAGTCAATAGTTGAAATGCTTTAGAATATAATATATGTATGCATGTACATACAATTAAAATAAAAAAATACATCGAAAAGTTTAGAAATGGCGCATATTTTTGAAAATTTTATATATATTAATTAATTTGTGTAATTATTAAATGCTGTTGGAAAAACGTACTTACAAAAATATTTTTTTTGGTTTTTAAATTTAAAAGTGCAAATATTGCATATATTTTTATTTTTTATATTTAACATTTTTTCTTCATATTTTTTTTTTTAACAATGCTGTCGTTTAAGGGTTTCAATACTTTTTTTTTATGTAGGGCTCTTAAGCACACATTTAGTTAACATAAATTTGTTTAAGAATACTTTTTTTTTAAATAAATTTGAATGCATTGGCAACAAACTAGCTTAAAATAATTAGAAGCCTTAATTACTTACAGTACAATGTGTAAAACTATTTTTAACTTAACAGTGAAATTAGTAACAATTGCATATATGTATGTATTACATAAACAAAATTAAAACAGTTAAATAATTACTTTAGGTTCACTTATAAATATTTATGGTTTTGCGTGACGGCACCCCATAAATTTATACTTAGAGCATACAGTCTAAGCTTAAAAACTCGTCATTGACGCGTTTAGCACAGTTTCGAGTTTTTTTCCTTTCTATTTTTATACTGCAAACAAAGTCCATTTTACGAACGCGATTCGATCAAGAGAAATGTAACGGAAATACTCCACTAATGTGCAGCGACACAGCTGGTGGTGGCGATTGGCGTGGCGACGCTCACGCGCAGTTCCGGCGGCAGGTATATGCGCGTAGTGCTCGTCACTTTTACACGACAACTGGGGCAGTGTATACATCTATAAAAAGAAATAATAAAAATTAATTGAATATGCTGCACTTTAGTCATTTTGTGAACTTTTGAACCTACCTCGCCGCACATTCCGCGCAGGTGGTCACATGTGAGCAGGGATTGAACATTGTATTGATTTCGCGATCCATGCAAATTTTACAGGTCATTGCTTCGGAAATACGTGTCTCCACGCAACGTGCAATTGCCGCATCGCGTTTCTCCTTCTCGCGCAACGCCATGTCCAATTTATCGGTGACAGCGCTGATGTCATCAATATGCAGCTGCGTAGCCGCATCATCAGCCGGATGCAGTGTACTCGCGCTCAATGTTTTGGTGGCACCGCTGAGCATATTTTCAAAGAGATCTTCATTGCCACTTGTTGTGCTATTCAACGCTTCAATGCCCTTTTCGTGTAGTATGCGACGCGCCTGATCGTGCACTTCGCGACAGGTGCGTTGTATATCGAAAACATAGCGTTTGCCCAGCTCGGTGTCTTCTTTGAACATCGAAGCGATTGTACCTTTGAGATCGCGCGTAAATTGATTGGTTACCACACCGCGTACTTTATCACAGACATAGAAGGCGTGTCGCTCCGTTATGGAGCGGTAGACTCCGGCGGCCATTGAGTGTTTTGGCAATTTGATTTCGAGCTCACGACGATCATTGCAATCGCCGACGTATTCCAATTTGAAAGTGCGTCGGAATGATTTCGCAGAGGCGATTGCGCTGAACGGGATGCTATAAGAGAGAGAAGAGGGGAAATTGGCAATGAATAAAATGTGTGAAGAAAAGTTAGAAAATATGGATTTTGAAAAAATATATAAAATTTAAATAAAAAAGAAAAAAATATATATATGTATGTATATATGTACATACATATGTATATAAAATTAAATGAAATATAAAAATAAAAAATTAAAATTAGAAAAATTAAAAAAAAAATTTAAAGAAAAATGACATTGTACAAAATGGTTGAAAAATTAAGATTTGTAGACAAAATAAAAATAAAAAATTAATTTGAAAAAATGAACAAAAATTGGAAAATTAAAAAAGAAAACAATTAACAAATAAAAAAAAATAAAAAAATCAAAAAGAATAAAAATTATAAAAATTAATAAGCTGATTTTTTATGTCTTTAAGTAAATTTTTAATTAGATAATTATTTTTATTTTCATTTACACCTTCATACTTTTGTAGATTATCAAAAAAAGTAAGGTTAGAGTTGACAAAATATATTAAACCTTATTTATTATTAGTATTTATTCTTCTCTCTGTTATTCTCTTTTAACCGCTCCTAATCTTATAATAAAAAATCATCGTACTCGCATTCACCCGAATCTAATTCAACGTAAAAATACTTACACATTCTTTTCGTCTCCCACACAGGTCGTGATCGCATTTGTACCAACTGACACATCGCAACGTACTGAATTTTCGTGCGCCGTCACGCCGCTGAACAGCTCCTCGCCGTAACCTTCGAGATCCTGAATTTGCTTCAACAGCCAATATTTTGCCGACTTCGTTGTCATTTTAAGTGTCGCCAACTTGCCATGCTCCACAGCAATGCGATTGTAGTAATCTTCCGGCATATCGGCGTCAACACCATCGACAGATGCCGGATAAACAATATAATTCTGATAAACATAAAGCGGTGATGATGCTAGCGCGGCGGCTTTGTCTACGTCCGAGTCACTATCGCACGACTGTGTTGCCATTTGTGACAATGCGTTGGCGCATTTCATGCTCGCACTCAATGTCGTTAGAGCCTCATCGGAGACAGCGGCGGCCAGATGTGAATGATGTATGTTTTCGGTGGACTTTTGTTTGGAGAGGCGTCGCTTCTTAAACGACAACACATGTTCTTTGTCTTTGCGCTCTTTGTGTTGGCATTGTTGTTGGTGAGCAACATCACCAGCGCTGCGGCGACGCATTTGCGTGGGACATTTGGCCTTTAGCGCGAGCGGATTGAAGCGTAAGCCATCAGCTTGACACAGCAGCGCGGCCAATTTAGCCGCATTATTCCAGTCGCGTGCATGCAGACGCTGCTCTAATAAATCGGAACGTGCTTGCATATAGAAAATGTTGCGTACGCTCTCTTGGAGCAGACAATGCACGGGTACCCAGAATTTGACGCGCAGCGCAAGCATTAAGTGTATGCTGCTGCTGCTGTTGTCGCACGACAGTCGATTGCGCAGATTGATCCATTGGCGTGTGCGCGACTCCTCCTGTCCAGGGGTCCAGTATTCGAGGCCGAAATATTCCATTTCACAGACAATGTCGAGTGCCTTGCAGACCTGTAAGTGCATACAAAGAAAAAGTGAGGTTAGTATTGTTGGTGCGAGTTTGGCATTTATTGCTTTAAATTTAGAGCGAAATATGGGGTATTCTATATAGAAATTTTTTCTTAAAAAATTTTTGTATTTATTTTCAGTTATTAATATTATTAAATTTATCTTAAAAATAAATAATAAAAATATTACATTTGGTTAAGATTTGAAAACAAACCATTTTCATATTTTCAATTGAAAGAAAAAAATTACATAAAAAGTTACGCATACGCCATGCTGCGCAAAAGTTCTGGTGCCTTTTTTCACTTCATTCTTATAAAATGCAGCTTAAATTGGAACAAGCTTTTAATTAAACCGCAGCTGCAGCTTTTCAAAGCTTATGGATTGAGCTTTTTGCTATTTGATACCTTACGCATCTTACTCATACGCCATGTTGAACAATTATATTACTATATCTATCAATAACAATATCTACAAATTTAAGCAGAAAAGTTTTGCATTTTCAGTTTTTGTATAATTTTAGAAAAAAAAAAAATTTAATGTACTATTTTAAACAAAAAATTAAAAATTAACCGAAATTTATGTGTTATATATTTCATTTAATTCAATAAAATAAAGTTTTTTATAAAAAAAACATTTGATTTTTAAAATTGTTCACTACAATCACCCTGTCATGAATTGTCGCAGCTCTACTAACCTAACGACATTTAAGATATTTACCTTTTTTGGTTACGAAGAAAACAGCAAAGAAATGTTGAGAAATTACAATTTTTATTGGGGTGTGTCTATAATTAGAGTTTTAATTGGGTAATTAAAAATTTGTACTTTCATTAACACACTTGTAATTGTCTCTGATATTTGTATCATGGTGACTATCAAATTTGTTGTGTCAAAATTTTTTTTTAGAAAAAAAAAACAGCCATAAACACATTACCAGAGGTTAGAGTTGACAAAAATATATTAACCTTTTGTGATAAGCGCCAAAAACATATTTTTTATATATCACTCCTCGCTCTCTTCTCTTACCTTCTAACCGCGCCTAACCACAAATTCATAAACAAATATTTTTGCGCATATTCGCATAGCTTCAACCTGGTAGTATTTTTATAG